CCAATGGAATGAAGCAACGACTGGTGTGAGCCCTCCAGCAGGTGAGCCTGAAACTCCAGCAAGCACAGGATCTACAGGCGCACTGGATTCAAGGTTTGGTGGTTTGGGTGGATGCCATAGCTTTAAGCAACAGCATTTGGTTTGGCATTTCGAGACGAGCCCGCGAAGAACACAGGGTGTGTATTCAAACCAAGGCTTTTGGATGGGTTTTGCTGTGTTTTCCTTCTTGCAGAGCGTCTTTATAGGAGGTTTGCCTATTTTGAAGCCTCGATCAGCACGAAGCAACTCGATCAGCGTTTTGAGGCCCAAAGAAGCGCCGGAAGTCGACTGCATGAGATGTGCGAAAAAAGGATGGCCGGAGTCGTCCGTGACATGCTCTAACTCTTCCGGAGTCGATGCTTGTTGGGATTGGCCAGTCTTTGGAATGAGACAGGACATGATAGGAATCTCAAGATTCACCTACGATCACTAGGATCTTCGGAGTGGGGATGTGCTTGAGTGCGAGCTTGGCGCCTGCCCATGCTGATGCATTTTCAGGGCATCGACGCTGTGGCACTGCAACAATGAGAGCGCAGATCTTCGTCTAATGACTGCGGCGGTGTGCGAGAAGATCTTTTTTGGAAGACAGAGTTTCTACTGAGGGATTCACACTGGAAGATAGAATTCCACCTCCAGGAGTTGTACGATATGAATCGCAATGGTCCATGAATTAGAGGCCAACAGAGGAGCATTAAGACGTGCCCAACCAAACATGCCTTTCTTTTTGATTGAACACACAAGGGAAATGATGGGAACAAACACGTATATATCATCTTGTAGAATGTAGAGCGTCAATTTCCTTTAGCTTTTACGCTTGATCATAGTCGAAGCCAGCTTCTGAGCATAGACGCTTGAAACAATGGTAACAGTGAGGCCCACCGGCGGATTCCCCCCCCAAAATGCCATAACACCGCCTGTATTTTTGGAAAGGACTGGGTAGAACAAAAGCCAAGCTATTATGGTGAAAGATAGGCTTGGCTTCTGTACTTTGTCCCCTGTTTTATACCTATACTGAACTATCGGAGTTTTGTGATATATGTGGGCGTTGATTTGCGGGAGTCTTTATTTGAGTTGGCCAATGCACAACAAAGATCTGGGGACAGAAACGTCAAATGGGATTTGATGGAGCAGCAAAACGGCACCAAAGCTGCAGAACTCTGCGAAGATGTTTGCAGGTTTCGCCCCTTCGCGTTGTTGAGACCCGCTCACAAGGCACATTTGTTGCTTGTCCCGATCCTTCAACCTTTTTTGTTGTGGATGTACTTGGAGTCTTCGGTGGCGCTGGGAACGTGTGTGCATGAAGAGATTCTAGGGTTTGGAATTGGATGCGCCGACAGGCAAAAAGCCTGAAGGCCCAGTGCAAAGCACACTGTCCTGAAAGGCAGCCAAAAGACAACACTTTGCTCAATTCATGACACAAAAACCTATGGAACCCGCAGTGAATTGTGCTTTAGGCCGCAAAATCAAACCAGACACATCAGAAACAAGTCCATGGGAAGGGCAGGCCTAAAGGGTGGGCACTCTGAGTTCCAGTCAGAGGAAGGGCAGGCCTGAAGCGGGTTGCATCATACATTTTTGGTGTGTTTTCCTGATCTATCCCTCGTCCCCGCAGCTTCATCAATGATCTCGTTGGACGTTCCTCATCACCCATGCCCGCACAGTACTTGCCACACCGAAATCGCCTGTACGAAGTATCCACCCAGTCACTGAACCCAGTCGCTTCAGATTGATCATCTCCCATCGGTTACAAACAACGGTGGTTTGGGTTGGAGGATGCAGCAGGCAAACGGACATATTTCACGAGTCGTGGTACATACAATGAAGAACTGCTTTCCTTGGCCTGCCGAAGAGGTGGGACACCAAATTTTTTCTGACCAGTCTGTCTCCTGCACTTGGCTTCAGACTATCAGCGGAGTTGGAGTCGAACAGTGAGCCATCATCCCGAGAGTAGGCTTTCATCATCCCGGGGAAGTCTCGGCGTTTGGGGCAAGTTCTCCTTCTTCGGCGCGAAGAATAGACACACACACACACACATTCGGAAGGGAACGGCATCCCCTGCTTCTCAAACACATTCCTTGAAGGGACTCTAGGTTTGGTAGTTCAGGCGTTTTCATGCAAAACAGATTTTCCCAGCTACCTGAAGAGCCTGTGCTCTTTAGGGAAGCGCAACAGAGGCGGTGGTACAACTGCTGTGTATAGTTCTATTGTTTCGCAAAAGTCAAACCCTGCATTCTCATAGGTGGCCCCCTTCATGGTGGATGACCCCCCCCACATGACAGGGCATACCAGTGGAAGCTTGATTTCTTTTGACCATGATCTGAATCTGATCACTCAGCCATCACCTAGCCTTCTTCTCATTGGGATCATTGGTCTACTATTTCATGTCAGCCATTTTTTCATAAACCAAACATCGGCCTGTCTCGAACCGCTGCGGACACGACGCGGTCTCGAAGCGGATTGAAAGCGATGGAGCTGGCAGAGCTGCCCCACTTCTTGCCACAGGCGGAGCTGAGCGGGTAACGAAGAAATCTTGCTGCAGGCAGATTGTGGAAGAGAGAAATACCCGGTTGAGATGAGGGACCAGTTTACTTCTCCTGAATGTTTGGGATATCGATACCCGATACATCCCGATACCATCTTTAGATGAACACAGCCCCCCCCTCAATGGTGGGGAAACGTTGGCGTTTCTCAAAAGATTGAGGGCCGTAGATGGTTCACAGACCCAGACATAGTTGCGGATCCCAGTCAGACCGTGTTCACCAAGACATTGCCACTTGGGAGCTTGATACCTCACCTCCAGGGTTTTAGGTGTTCACCAATCGAAGACCCTGATGGTTTTGGGTTTGTCCTCAACAGCATCATCACCTGTTTTGGTTGCTGAGTCGCTGGGCACTCAATTGCTTACCCTTATCATTCACGTCCGTGGTCAGCGGTGCATTGGGACTTACTGAACTTATGGATTGTTGACATTCTCAACTTGGCAAGCAGGTCATGGGCCACCCAATACACTCCGAGTACCTGCTGAGGTATTTGGGCCCTCCAAACCCACCCCCCAAAACACCTTCGAAACGAAGATACTTGAAGCCCCACATCGGGCCCTCACAAGCTGAATCGATTCGTACCTCCCCGCCAGTACATGTTCTTCGGCTCTTCAAGAACGCCTCGTTAGCTGTCACAGGTCCTTCCAATGCTGGAATGGCTGGACATTCGCTCGGGGCCCAACGCAAGTGGATACGACCCCCATTTGGATAGTAAAAGGCAACATATTCACCTGGGCAAAAGTTGTGAACAGCCCAGACACCCCGAAACTGCATAAACATGTGGCTTGTCCACTGCAGGTTGTCATCAAGTACTTCTTGAAAAATATCCACTAGGATGAGGGCATCTGACGTTACAAAGCTCTGTGTGGACATCTCTCCAGATGTGTTCCATGCTTTAAACGGCGCTTTACCTGCGCATCTTTTGAGGCCGAATTTGCCTGGCTCAGAAAGAGTGCAGCAGATCGTTGGTGCAGGTGGACTCGGCCATTGCCAATGATGCTGTGAATCCGTATTTTTTTTTTGGTCAGCTCGACGGATGAGACACAAGGCGATTCATGGTTTCTTGATCAGGATGAGAGAGATTAGGATGAACCCGCGACCTGAAGATCCTCCAACTTTCTGAAGCTACTGTACCACTGGCAGGCGGTGCACCATCGCTATCTTGGGGATGCCCCAACAGCAGTGAGAGCCCGCAACGGGCACCCAGCATGAACGCTTGTTCACCTTCACATGCTGCGGCTATTTGTCTTTCTGCAGATGGCTTTCACGGTGGTCCCTTGACGGAAAAAGTTCATGATGTTCATGAACCAAAGGTGCATCGAATGGAAGATCATTGTCTGGAGATCAGGGAGGTCTTTTTTTGTTCTTCTTTCCGGGCCTTCCTCTGATTAGACTGCCTTCGTTGTTCGGTTCCCTGCGAAATTGCAGGAGGTGCCTATATATATTATATATACATATATATATACATGTCAGGTGTCACTGGTCACAGGTGGTTGCTGTTTGAGCTTTGTGTTAACATGGCAGCTGGCCTTTCTGAGGTGAAGTGCTGGCTGCTGCGTCGAGTGAAGTGCTGGCTGAAACCGCCGCGCCGAGGCATCCAAAAGCTCGGACAGCGGCTCAACGGGGCGCAGGCCAAGGGAATGCGGCGACCCGAGATGTGGGGAGGGCTTCCATGGAATGACATGGAATGACCAAATGTGATGTTCATCTTTTCCTCTTGAAATGGTAGAGACCATCCTAATTCTTGGGCGATGGCACAGGCAAGCTCGCGTGCATGATGTTTGCAGGGTTCGATGACTTGAATTAGTTGCTACAATTCCAGGAAGTTGATGATGTTAATCGGTTCATCATCAAGACCAATGTTTGAACAGGCCAATGCTCGACCTGGTGAACTTGCAAAAGTGAATCGCGTCATTGAGATGTTCAGCTCTTGGCACAATAGCGATGGCCTCCAATCTACTAGCTTCTTGCTACTAGTAGTAATGGCCTCCAGCCTAATAGCGATGGCCTCCAACCTACTAGCGATGGCCTAGCGATGGCCTCCAGCCTAATTACTAGCGATGGCCTCCAACCTAATAGCGATGTTCTTTCTCTTTGCATAATTACCTCGGCCTGATGTTACAGCCCGCTTTGTAACATTCTCAGAACAGGCACCAAACTGCTTTTGACTGTTCATCCTTGATCCAGGTGAGGAACCCTAAAAGACCCAGTGGTTGAGGATGAGAGATGAACCTCCATCCGGCACCAAACATGTGAAGATGAACGTGACAGAGTCCATTTTAGGAAGCTGTGATCAGGGGTGTGTTGCCGTTCTGACGGACCCGGGACGAGACATCCAACCACTCCAGCAGCAGCCCTGTCAGTCAGGCAGCTCAAGCAAGAGGCTCTCCAGAAGCGCTGAGCTCCGCGGCCGTGGAAATCATGGCGCCGGACCCGGCGGTCGAGTCGAGTCGATGCGTCGAGTCGAGGCGTCGGTCGATGCGGAGGACCGTGAGCGCTCGTCCGGGGGCGAAGCGTCGGTTTCGGACCTCGTGCGGTTTCGGCCGGGGGTCGTGATGGCCGGCCGAGTGACGTGACCGGGTTTCCGTGGGATGGCCGGGGATGGCTGGGGGATGTTTGAGGATGCTCTTCACCTTTGGGGTGAATTCATTTCAGGGCATCCAATGTCTGTTGGTTCAGCTGGGCGTTGGACTCTGCCTCTTGATGACGTGATTGTTCGCATGGAACAGTTTGAGTCAATTTCTATAGTTTTCACAGTGCCAGGTGCTTCAACAATGTTCGAGTGTCCTGGGCGAGAACTGTGAAAAGTATGCCGACCTGCTCGAAAGGCAGGGCCTCACTCTGACCCGTTCGTCAGTTGAAGATCATTTGGAACTTGGGGACTCGATCTATTGTTGATGCAGGAACATAATGTGATTGTAATTCAGTAACAATAAAATCATGCTCACATCGGAATAATAAACCTCCCCTCTAGTGCTTTTTGCATACCCCCGACTTGATTCTATATTGTTGCACAAGTGCCTTAGCCTTTTCCTTTATACCCCCACTGTTGAAACACCATGTTGTCCGGCCCTGATCCTCATGCCTGTCAAGCGCACATGAACCCCGAACCATGAATCCTGTTCCTCTACTCACTTCAGCTGACCTAAAACACCGTTGTCGAAGATATCCCCTTTCACAGCAACTCTTCACGTCGAACATCGCCCTTTCGACGCGTTCGTTCCAGAGTCTCGGCTGATTCGGTACTCCGAAGGTTCGACTCCTGACGCGTTCGGTCCTGGCTCGTTGGTCGCGGTCGAAGAGGGTGGGCTTCACCTTGGGCGATGACTTGGAGAAGGTCTCCGATGCGCTCTTGGAGTCCTTGGACCGCCTCCAGGCCGCCGCCTCCGTGTTGGGACCTTGGGTGGGATCGGGTCGGTGAACCGCGTGGTTCAAGTGGGGGTCTAAGAATCCACCGGCCAAAGAGGCGGGACTTTGGTGCAGGACACACGAAGAGACGAACTGTTTCTGTCTTCGGCTCCTACCAACTCACCAAAAGCTTCCCAACCCAAAATCGCCATTTCGGGCCATTTCTGGCGAAGACGCTTCCCGCGGACACTGTCTCCGCCTTTGCCCTAGGCGTTCTCCGACGCCGTGGCGCGGCTCCGCGCGGCGGCCGAGGCGGCGCCGGCGCCGGGCATCTCCTGTCGAGCGAGCGGAGGCGGCCGACGGCGGGAGCCGGCGGTGCCAAGGGTCGGAGGGTGTTTTTTTTCGATTATATTACTCTATATTCTTAAATTACTATGATTTATAGACTATGATTGTAATATACATATACATATATCAACACACACACATATATATATATATATATATTTACCAGGCTACCGCCTGCAGCCGCCGACCCCCAAGGGATAGAACCTTAGCGCTAGCCTTGCTCTAGCCAGAGAGGTGGGGTGAGGCGTGACTGTCGAGGTTAGCCTTAGCCTTAAGCCTGAGCCTTAGCCTTAGCCTAGCCTTAGACTTACTTAGCCTTAGACTTAGACTTAGACCCTACCTCCCCTACCCCTCCGGACCCGGGTGTTGTTGTAAAAGGGAGTTGTAGGAGTTCCCCTATTTTCTTCCATTGTTGTAGAATTATCTAGCACTTCCTCTTGCATTTAGGTTCCCAGATTTGCCCAAAAATTGATTAACCTATTGTTAACCTATTTGATTCGAGTGTTCCCGGCCAATGCCCTGGAATTTTCCTAGGAATGCTCTAGGCTTTGTTTAGATTTTGTGCTGGACGAGGTCCGGCCAGTGCCCGTGGTAACGTGAAAGGCTCTGGTAAGTTTTTCGCATGCCTGTCAGGCGCCGATCTAAACAAAGCCAAGAGCATTCCTAGGAAAAATCAAGGGCATTGGCCGGGAACACTGGCATAAAATAGGTTAGCCAAAGGTTAACAATTTTTGGGGGAAATCTGGGAACCTAAAGACAAGAGGAAGGGCATTGACCGGGAACACTGGCAGAAAATAGGTTAGCCAAAGGCTAACAATTTTGGGGGGAAATCTGGGAACCTAAAGACGAGAGGAAGCGCTAGAAAATTCTGGCAAAAGCATCCAACCGAAAACGTAACAACATCTAGACAAAGCCTAGAGCATTCCTAGGAAAATATTGGAAAAGCCTTTGAAAGTTCCATAGGTTAGCAAAAGGTTACCAATTTTTGGGGGAAATCTGGGAACCTAAAAACAAGAGGAAGCGCTAGAAAATTCTGGCAAAAGCATGCAACCGAAAACGTAACAACATCCAGACAAAGCCTAGAGCATTCCTAGGAAAATATTGGAAAAGCCTTTGAAAGTTCCATAGGTTAGCAAAAGGTTACCAATTTTTGGGGGAAATCTGGGAACCTAAAAACAAGAGGAAGCGCTAGAAAATTCTTGGAAAAGCATCCAGCCGAAAACGTAACAAAATCTAGACAAAGCCTAGAGCATTCCTAGGAAAATGCTGGAGAAGCCTTTGAAAATCCCATAAATCCAACAGAAAACGTGACAAAATCTACGAAAAAGCAAGGGCATTGGCCGGGACCGCGCCGCGACCAGCCCGGGATTCGAGCCCGGGACCATTTTGGACCGTGCTTATTTTCCCGCGCGGGTGGAGAGGGTGCCCCAAGATGTAAATCAAATGGGATGGCAGAATCTTGGACAATCCAGGTCGCCATCACGTCGCAATCAGGTCGCAATCACATCGCAATCAGGTCGCAATCACGTCGCTTTTGAGTCGGGATTTCGTCACTGCAACAAGGGTCCGGAGGGGTAGGGGAGGTAAGGTCTAGGTCTAAGGCTAAGGACTAGGTCTAAGGCTAAGGATAAGGCTAAGGCTTAAGTCTAAGGCTAAGGCTAAGGCTTAAGGCTAAGGCTAAGGCTAAGGCTTAAGGCTAAGGCTAAGGCTTAAGGCTAAGGCTAACATCGACAGTCACGCCTCACCCCACGGTGTGGGGTCGGCGGATATATATCTATATACACACAATATGTATAATTATTGAATTGTATGATGTATATACTCAATCTATGATATTGTATTTGTGCTTCTGTCAGTTGATTCTTTCAAAGACTTCCATGGGGGCACACACACACACACTTGAGATATTGTGTACGGAACTGAATGCGGTGCCACACGCCGGCCTAGGGTTCCATTTC